AATGAATTTTCTAGAAGAGTGTCTCCACAATCTACAAAAAGCATTGAGGGGTATACATTCCCATCAAAATGGCTCAGGTCATCATATAAATAGCCAGTCTCTCAGTGGAACCTTTTTTCCAGTCTTGTCCTAATGAATAGTTCTGTTCGTCAAGGGGTCAAAACATCAGCTGTCCTAAAGTTTCTCCTCATTCAAATACTTGATCATCTGAACTTAAGATCAAGCATTGCTCTACTTCCTACTTATTCCAACCATTCCAAGCAGCAACCTGATTGAAATGCTTCGAGCTTCCAAAATAGTTCAGATCTTATATGATTGCAACTTTAATAGTCAGGGAAGAAATCTATTTAACTTCACTCACAGGGGTGGTATAAATCTTCATCCCGCAGGCTGTCAGCCAACACTAGGTTAAGACATCTGAAATGTCAAGGGAATGGTGTAACAGACATGCTGAGAAAACCCTCATCTTAGATAAATGCAACTTTCTTGCCCCTGGGCAGCAGAATAATAAGCTATCATGGGCAACTTATCAATGTGCTCTACACAGCTACAGGTCCTTCTATAATGCATGGTTTCTCTGGCAGTACACCTCCTCTCTTACAAGTGCCCCAACTGCCAACATTTGGTGAAACAGGTTGGGTTGATGGATGTCATCCACCAGTGATAGCTGCAAACTCTCTTGGCTAGTTACTGGTGGCATCATCAACCAGAGTTGGTATTGAGATACCATTGTCAGCAAATGCTCAGGAGTCTTGTACAGACAACACATTACTCTGATGATTCTGACTTACCTATGTCATCTGTGCACTAAGATCAATTCTCAGGAACAGAAGTCAATTGACAGTACTGAGGACACTATATTTGGAAAATTTTCCTTCCTGAGTCTGTGCCTGTAACAATAAAGAAGCCACGAAACTTTGCAACATCGGTTAAACGCCGATGCCTAATCAATGGTTTCTTCAAGATCAAACTATTCTCTCTGACAATTGTCTACCTTTACTGACAAATTCTTTTTCTTGGATGTAAGCCTCTCGACTTGTGAAAAAAAAATATAGTTAATAACACAAAAAGAGCATAGTTAAATTCATTTGTCAAGAGAAAAACAGTAAAAATCCCCAAACACAACTTCTTTGGTTATGCTACAAAAATGTTTACCTGTACCTTACACTATGGTACTTCCAAGTAAACTGTTTTCCTCAACAGATTTGGTAGTATCTGCTAATAACATTTTCTACCAAGAAACGTTTTATGGAATAAGGCTCTTTTTTTCTCTTGGTTTTGAGTGAGAAGCAGTAAATGAAGAGACTGGGCAAAATATTTATATTTCAGTGAAAACGATATTCATTTATCTCACAAACCAATAGAAAAAACGGAGACGAGTGCTTCACTGTATTTCAGCAAAAGGATAAGATTGTTGAAAACCTGTACGAAGATCTGTCTCAGAGTGAGAGATCATAGCATTATATAAGAACATCTATCCTCTTCAGTACACACGTGCTATCCACCTCACTCTTGGTCATTGTACTGAAAAAAGTAATGAGGGTAATAACCTTCAGGTGTCATCTTACTCACCAGTAGAAAGGTTTACCGATTATTTTTGCACATTGTGTTCTACTTACCAGTGATATTTTTCACCAAAAAACACATGCAACACCGAAAGGGAAAGACACAGAACAATGATAGTTAGAGCAAGAGGGATTGATTGATATTCTATTGTTAAAAAACACAGGTGTATTTACAAATATGTTGACAAATTTCATTTTAGAACACCTTAAAAGTTTTCTTCCTCCAATGACCATACGGTTTCTGGACATCCACTTATTTCTCTCATCAAGGGCAGCTAATTTTCTGGTGCACCAACAACTTATGAAGTTTGCCTACGCCTCTGAGTATACTAGCATACTACACAAATAGAAATTAGAGTTTAACAATTTGAAATCAGTATTGTTAGAATTTTGAAGTATGATCGTACTGTAAAAGTAAGATTAAAATAAATATCATATGTTAGAAGTTTTAAATATGGTAGTAATGTCAACTGATCTTATCAATATATAATCAATGTAAAGAGTTGACACAAATACATTCGTAAAGCCAATGAAGATTCAGAATATGATATCAATGTAAAAAACCTGATAATACATTATTTTAATGTAAACTAAACTCAGGAAAATGATACCAGTGTAATTCCAAGAGGGGGATATCGTTTGTACTTAATGGCGTTGGAAAAAAAAAATGAATATGGGTCAACCTGGGGTACCATGACCATATAGAATGAGGCATGCAGCAAGCCGTACCTCAGACATGGTAATCAAAGTTTGGTGTCGCGTAACAGGTGAGAATTACTGAACTCATAGGTCAGTGGCAAAAAGCATTCACATATATCAGGCAACAGTACGCAACACGATCAAGAAGGATCTCTATCTGGAAAGATGACACACGTCACGTGTACACAGTTGCTTCCCTGACATATCTGTTGCATACCTCGACCATTTGGAGAATGAAACGGGTGTTCATGCTATTTCATCTAAAGACATACCAGTCAAGACGACGGATGCAGTGCCTATGGAGTTCTGGGCGATTTGGTTGTTGAAATAGGCGCTGGGAAACCGTCATCCTCATACACTAGATAGATTATGGAAAGCATTCAGGGAGAAATGGTGTGCTTTGGACATGACACTCTTACAACAGAGCCTTTTGCAATGGAATCTATGCTTCAGGGCTATTGTCAGATAGAGTATGATCAGACGTGATGACATAGACTGTAACGACGTGATGAGGCTCCAAAATCGTTTTAATATAACGTACTGAAAGTGTGTATAACCTTAATGTAAACCAAACTGAGATTAACAGCATGATTTGAATGTAAACATTCTATTTGTTTGGAATTTTTTTAAGGGGCTACCTCCTGTTCATAACCATCCCTAGTTTTGAATTGATAGCTTGGGGGGGGGGGGGAGGCATCTAGCCAAGACAATAACCCGCCAATACTTAGGCTACTCTTGTGTGGACAAATAACGGGTTTTGATCCTCTGTCTTCCAGCGCACCCACGGACCCAAAGTGCGGAGTATGTTCTTTGTAGAAGGACGCGAGTCATATATCCTCAGATTTACAATCCAATACGCTAACTACTAGGCCACGCCCAACCTATATATACAGAAAGTATAAATATAATGTTAAAATACAAAACATAAAATTTAACAATATGATATTTCTATTTATCAATGATAAACTTAAACACAAACAAACAAGGTCTACAGTGCTTTCACTTCTACAAGAGATTTCTCTCCATATTACCCCAGAAATATTAAAGCAGTGACTGTTGGAAAAGTCCCAAGATTTATTCCACATAATGTTTGAATACTGAATTCTTGTAAAGTGTGAGCAGTATGTACGTATATAAATCTTGTTTGTTTGTTCTTAATCATAAAGTTACATAACGGGCTACCTGTGCTCTGCCTACCGCGAGTATGGAAACCCAACTTTTAGTGTAATAAACCCTCATACTCGCCGCTGAGCCACCGCGAGGGGGGTCACGCATACCAAGATAAATAAATTACATAACCGAGAGCAGTAGGCCTAAAACTGTTATGTAAGTGATATTTGAGAGCAAATAAAATACGAATAAATGTAACGTCACAAATGAAAAGAATCTACCGTGAAACCATAAACATGTTTTCGTGGCTTTAAAAATATGTAGCAAAAATTGTAAGGTTATAATCAAAACTTAAAAAAAAACAATAAATAAAAAATAATAAAACAGGGAGTAAACACTGCCGTCACAGTGCTGGGGATAATGTAATAATATCTTTATAAATAGATTGGTTTGTTGTTAAGCGCAAAGCTACACACTGGGCTATCTGTGCTGTGCCCATCGCTCTTTTTCACACTATTTTTTACCAATTAATCCAAAAATATCTGCCCAATAATGGAGCACGTTACAACAATATAATCCTAATGTAACCTAAAAAACATCATATCAATATACAACTGAACATATTTCTAATGTAAAATAAAATTTCAAGTATGATAATCATGTAAACTGAAGTTAGCAGTACCATATAAATGTGGAAACAAAATTAAAATGCTATACCAATGTAAACAAATTTAGTGATACTATCGCAATGTAAACCATGCTTATCAATTTGACATTACTTTAAGCTGATTCTAAGAATAAGATATCAACATATACCTAACATAATAATATGATGTCGATGTAAATTGAAGTTAGAAATACTAATAATCGTCTCTTGACTTAGTAAGCAATCTAACACTGACTTATTTAATGTTTAGCAGTCTTATTCTATATTATCATGATTAAATTGTAGTTAAGCAGTCTGATTTTTAACTTATTGTAGTTAAAATGGCAGTTTCCTTTTTTTTTTTTTGTAAAATTAAAATCAGTCTGATTCTAACGTTATTATGTTATTTGATTGTAATCCAACTTTAATTAGTGATAATCTTAAACACTTATCATTGATATAAATATACATGCAATACGTGTTCCGAGACTAGTATATTCACACTATCTATCATTATATGTACCTAGTAAGTGTTCCGACACTGTATCAAGTAATTTCACACTGTTTCATTATATGTAATTATACCTAGTACACGTTCACAACTGTCCCAAGTAATATTTCACACTATGTTTCATAATGTGTGTTTATCCTTAGTTCGTGTTCCGACACTAGCTCAAGTAATATTTCACACTATGTTTCATTATATGTACTTATCCCTAGTTCGTGTTCCGACACTACCTCAAGTAATATTTCACACTATGTTTCATGATATGTACTTATACCTAGTTCGTGTTCCGACACTACCTCAAGTAATATTTCACACTATGTTTCATTATATGTACTTATACCTAGTTCGTGTTCCGACACTAGCTCAATAATATTTCACACTATGTTTCATGATATGTACTTGTACCTAGTTCGTGTTCTGACACTAACCCAATTGGCTATAATAAAGCTGTTGCTAAGAGAGTTTTACTTACCTTCTAAAAGAAGTAATGTGTGGACATACAGAAGTGTACTAATAATAATCCTCGAGAATAAATTAGCCATTTTTCGCCATCACCTGCTACCTCGTAACGTCTGGAAACACTATGGGCGATTTAAAAAGAAACAGACTTCATGGAATGTGACACATAAAGGTGAAAGTGACGACACAATGGTTTCTCATCAACGTGCTGAGTTTAGTCACAATACCAGAAATCTATACTTGCGCTTTGTCATCGTAATGATACATTAGGGTTTTTTTTATACGTAGATGGATAACAAAATATCACGGAAAGCGTTCATTCTTCAAGTCGAAGCTTCGGTTTAACATCCAGACCTTTTACTTGGTATTAATATTATACTATTTTACTGATTGGACCTGAACTCGTCTGAATACTAACTTTAAGTAACTTGCCGCTTGGTAGAATGGCGACCCCGCTCTGCTTGAAGGGACACCACTGTCAAGTTATAATATGACACAGTGGATGTTCCACTTCATGCTCTAGCGTTTCTTCGTAGTACCTCCCTGAATGTAACCCCACCAGAACGACAACTATTACTGGCGCTCACGAGAAATCTTTAACACCGAACTTACAGGAAAGACAGAGAATTATAGACTAGACCCAAAACCAGCGCACATTCAGTTCTGCTTTCTTGATTGGAGGATTTATACTTTGTTTAATACAATACTACCCATAATACTTTACTATGTTCATACTTCATTTAACTGTAGAGTCTAAGTTACGACTTCAAAAAATCGTTTATTTTCAGATGCTAATGAATCACGCGTCGTTCTCGGCGTAGCGCACAAGATGAAACTGTGCATTATTCTCTATTCCCTGCCATGTATACCAATAGAAGGTCATTAAGGATGAGAATCGTGTGAAACGTCTTACGTAAGACCATATGTGTAATGAAGAAATTCCTCAAGCAACCACATGTGTACCCAAAGGGCATACTCCATCTGGCGGAAATGTAAGTAATTAAAATTCTACATGTCACTACGTGGTTGTGCAACTGAAAAAAAACTAACAACAAACAAACAAGATGAGCTCGAAGGTGTCAAGGAACTAGAAAATATAGAAAAGTGGGTCATTGCATCTCAGAAAATAGAACCTCGTGAACCTCGTTTTTGTTACCTGTAAGGGGCTTATTACGTGAAACGTAGTAAAGAGGCTGTTACTCGCCATGTTTTGTTAAAACATTCAGGTGCGTCTCTGTTACATTTTTTTTCAAAGAAAACATTAAAAAAAAAAGGTACAAAACATAGGTTTAGTTTAAAATTTTGCTAAAACTTTCGTATTTCTACACACGATTAAAGCCGAGGGAATTTGTTGACAAAGGACGAGGAAATATTCATAAATTAAAATATTTCTGAAGTTGTAAGATAGGGCTCTTGATTTGCATCGAAACCAATGATATGAATACTGGTTTAATGACAATAAAGTTTAAAACTTAGATCTTTTTGTGTCATCATAAATATCCCCAGTTATCCAATATGGCGATAAAGTACTTGAATCACATAATTGACAAAAATACTAAAAACAGGAAAACATATTCACAATACTTCTACTCAATCTTAAAACATAAATACACTCGGATGGAAAATTTGATTAATGAGCTAGAATCGTCTACTTATCACTATAGTTGATTTTGTAGATGTTTACCTATGGTTTGTATGATTACCTTTAGATTTAGAGATGATTAAGTCTTGTAATCAGTAAGTCCATGGCTGACTGAAGCTTTTTTCGGTCTGGGACTCGACTTTTATGACGTCATGTACATGTATCAAACTTTTGACGCATTTTCTCCGCTCTTCAGTATATTTTAATTTGATTAATAAGTTTAACACCAAAAAGATTTTGTTTGTTTGTTGAATTTCGCGCAAAGCTACTCGATGGTTATCTGTGCTAGCCATCCCTAATTTTGAAGTGATAGACTAAAGGGAAGGCAGCTAGTCAACACCATCTACCGCCAACTCTTGGACTGCTCTTCTATCATTGAAAAGTGGGATTAGCCATAACATTATAACGCCCCCATGGCTGAAAGGGCGAGCATGTTTCGTGACGGGATTCGAACCCGCGACCCTCAGGTTACTAGCCGAGTATCCTAACCACTTGGCCTTGCCAGGCTTACCCCGAAAAGAAATAAATACTCAGTGTTTTGAATAAACATTCGAGTGTTGTTGAGTAAAGTATGCATTAACTTTTGTGTGAATAGATAGGAGTTGGCTTTTTTTTTTAAGGTAGTTATCTTACCGAGGTAGATCGGCTCTTCCAAGTTTAATTCCGGTTCGGACACCACACCTAAAAATACACATCCTACGAAAACCTTGCTGGTTTGTTCGAGGGAAGGGTGAGACACTTCCGTCATGCCTCAAAACACGTTGTCTATCCTCCCTTTTCTTCAGATGGGTGGAAAAGTAGAATGCTCTGTTCCAAGTCCGTTTTCTTTGATCCAAAAACTGGCACCCATTCACAAGAAATCAGTGAACGAAACTCCCCTTGAACTTCAGTATCTTCTACGTGACAAGGGAGTTTTTCATGTGATGTAAATAATAATAATACATCATTACATGCTACGTGATGTAACCACAGTGGCATTGGGAAGTCAGAACCTTCACGGAAAAGTACTACTTCTAAAAGTTAGGTTTATAATAAACAGAAAGTTTTCCAATACTCAGGAATATGAAGTATTCTGATTACGATAATATTTACGATAATCAGGAATATTTCTATTAGATAGGGATTATTTAGGTAACAAGGAACATTTTGATAAACAAGGAGATATTTCAATAGAGAACAAGAAAGTTTTCTTGAGGCAACATATAATTCTAGTACACCAGAACATATTTAGAACTGAGGATAATTCTAATCCCTATAAAAATCGATAGACAATACTAATTATAAGTGACAGGAGAGTTTTCTTTGAACAAAAATAAATTCAATAGTTGCTGAAAATTTTATATAAAAGGATGATTGCAATAGACAAAAACGTTCTCATAAACAAAGACAATTCCAATAAATTTTTAATAGACAAAAATAATTCCAATAGCATTAAAGGTTTAGATATTTTGGTATCGGTATTCTTAACCCGAATGGCACGTTATGCGCACATAGGTTAAGCGGTCAGGTCACACCAGGGGGAAGGCAGCTGGTCAGCAGCCATCGCCACCACACTGATTTTATTCAACTTTGAACCGACTAATGGGATTAACTGTCACTTTTGTAACGCACCTTCAGCTGAAAGTACAAAATGTATTTAGCGGTATTACGGTGTAAACCGCAGCCAAACAAGCTAACCACATCTTGACACTATTTCTAGCAGCTTGCGCTGCTGGGATAATAGATACATAGAGAAGTTCAGAAGAAAGTGAAACTGATCTCTTCAGACTACACCACATTCAATGTCTACCGAATACACTCTAAGCGCTACATGCCTTCCTATTTACATCTGAGTTGAGCAGTTTTCGACTACTATATGGTAATCTTTTATGGTGTCCTTTGTATGGAGATAATCGAATCCTCAGTGTTGAAGAAATTGGACAGATGAGACAAGGTCTAATGTCTTTTTAAACTTTACAAGCAGATTATTGTCCTTTTTTATTTTATTTTTGTCTTAGGTTGTGATAAGCAGTTAGCAACCTAGCTGCAGGCATAATTTTTTGATCATCACTGTTGATAGACTTTGATGAAAGACATCTTTAAACAGTTGGTCAAGCAAACGGTATTGATAACAATCACCCTCGAAAGCCTGAGATCCTTGCTGTTACCAGTTTCTTTGCAGACTAATCACGATACGACTACGTCTCCTTATTTGCAAGGTTAAAGCAATCATCTGATACATAACGTATGCAAACAAATGCAGTGTACTGTATCTGTGGTAGGTCCTAGTAAAGTGGCCTTCCAAATTTGAAGTGTGAGGTACTTCATATCCACTGGTTAATTCGATTCTACACTAGCATATATTTCTTAAAAATGAAAGTTTTTAAATTACTGTTTATGACCTGTTCACTCTTGGCCTACAGTGTAAAGAATCAAACATACTTCAATTAATTAAGATACATGTATTCATTTTCCAATTGTCTAGGTTTGCCAAACTGTGGTCAGAAATTACATATTTAAACTCAAGCTGATACACTGCTTTTAAATGGACCTTTGTTAAAGTATCAAAGTCAACGGCTAAAGGATTCAATGCCACTCGCACCCACAGCTTAAAGTACATGGAATATTTTGTGCTTTTGCACGGATTCGAACGACTCGCAAACTTCGAAATCCAAAGCTCTACCACAGCAAACCCGCGCCCTTTATTTCGATAATATGGATAGAATGTACACTAATATGAAGTGTAATATGCCTCTGTTTAAAAACGAACGAAACATATATTAAGCAGTATATATTAAGCAAAAACATGAGCTTATCAGAACGGCTAAGTTTCAACACTGAAAGTGTTAAGATAATGTTATTATTGTTGCTTATCAGAATGGCTGGGTTTCAACGTTCAAAATGTTTAAATGATATTATTATTGTTGCTTATCCAAACGGCTGGTCTTCACCATTCGAAGTTTTAAAATAATGTTATTATTGTTGCTTATCAGAACGGCTGGGTTTCAACATTCGAAGTTTTAAAATAATGTTATTATTGTTGCTTATCGGAACGGCTTGGTTTCAACATTCAAAGAGTTAAAATAATGTTATTATTATTGTTTACCGAAACGGCTGGGTTTCAACATTCGAATTTTTAAAATAATGTTATTATCGTTGCTTATCAGAACGGCTGGGTTTCAACATTCGAAGTTTTAAAATAATGTTATTATTGTTGCTTATCAGAACGGCTGGGTTTCAACATTCAAAGTGTTAAAATAATGTTATTATCGTTGCTTATCAGAACGGTTGGGTTTCAACATTCAAAGTGTTAAAATAATGTTATTATCGTTGCTTATCAGAACGGCTGGGTTTCAACATTCAAAGTGTTAAAATAATGTTATTGTTGCTTATCGGAACGGATGTGTTTCAACATTCGAAGTGTTAAAATAACGTTATTGTTGCTTATCGGAACGGATGTGTTTCAACATTCAAAGTGTTAAAATAATGTTATTATTGTTGTTTATCAGAACGGCTGGTCTTGAACATTCGAGGTGTTAAAATAATACTTATCAGAACGGATGGATTTCAACATTTGAAGCGTTAAAGTGATATTGTTTAGGATAAACTGATAACTTTATTAGAAGTCTGACCGTGATATTTCGACACACATAACTTCTACCCTAAACTGTCTCATGCGTTAATCAACGCCTAACTTAAAGTATTTTGCTTGAAAACTAAATAACGCATCAGCTAAAACAATGATGTAATCCAGCCAACTTCATGCTCTGGAATTCAGCGAAAAACGTCTTTGCCAGTGTCTTACAATAGACAAAGTATAGTGTAAATGCTACTTCCCGACTTTCCTTGTTGGAGATTCATGCTGAACCAGTTAGAGAAGGGGGAATTAAAATTTATTATTGTTTCCAAACTGTGAGGCTTTTCCAGATCCATTGTTATAGATCACCCAAAAAGGTCAGTCTTTAAAAGTGACCCGTCTTTTCAGGGAAGGAGAGTGTTGAATGAGTGTTAAATTAAATATGATAAAGGGAAGAATTATTTTTTATTTCAGTTGACAAGATATTAGGTTAATTAATATATAGTGGTTAATTGTATATAATTTAATTTAAGTTTTTACAACCAGTTGCAATTTTGGATGCTTCATGTGTGTTGTTTTTTGTAAGGAGTTTTTGGTGGCAATAAAATAGAAACAAACCTCAAGTAAATACCGTGTATATGTATATCATTTTACAAACGTGATATTCAAACACATTAATATTCAACAGGTAACCAAAAGTATCAACAACACG